CAGCGATGCCCGACGGAGCGCCTGTGACCCCGGGGAGGCCATGGCCGGCGGCTGGGGAGCCGGGCCGGGCCCGGCAGGAGTGCCATCGTTGAGGCGATCCCCTTTAGGCGTGTGGGATCCCCCCTGGCAGGAGGGGGGTTGTAAGCAGAAGCAGGTAGGGGACTTCTGCCTGGGCAGAGGGACAAGGAGGCGACAGGGGCGTGCATTGGCACTGCCCCTGCATCCTGCGCTCGGCAGATTGTCAAACCCTGTCGATGAAATGGTATTCATGGGGCTGTAACCGCACTGAACCAGAATTGCTTGTTTCTCCAGGCCTTTATAGCTTTCTGAAGGCTGAATGTGTTGGATCTAGCTGGTACTCCTGGAAAAAACTTTGGCCATGAAATAACAGGTTTAAAGCACGGCAACTTTCCTCAGCTCTTTTTGGCCACCTGGATACATGCTGCGCCTGGAGGTCAATTGTTCCTTGTTAAAATGTCTACACTGACACTCCATTAGCTTGCGGTTCCTCTCAACGGGGTTAGCGGAGTTAAGATCGTTGCTGCTGCAAGGAGGAGCTCCCATCTCCCTTCGCCTGCCTTATCTGTGCAGGACCTTTTTTGGGCTGATTCAACGCCCCAGTTTGACAGAAGACTGGTGACATTGGTCTGGGAGGTCCTGACAAGGACTGGGGTCCTTGTGAAGGAAGGGAGATGAGACCTCTCCTGACTAGCTCAACTCCTTGTGGAAATGCAGCCTGACTTGTTCAACTTTTATTTATTTTTAATTTATTTTTCCACGCCGTTGCAGGAAACTTGCAATTCAAGAGCTATCTTTTTGTTTTGTTTGAAGCTTGGTGAAATTTTGGTTTTGCTTTCAGCCTGCTACTGGCTGATAAACCCAACTTCTGTGCTGAGAAGTATGCTAAATGAATTTCTGTCTGGAGCGTGGGGAAAAAGCTACTGTGGTTGTTTTTGCATTTATGGTTTGATTTGTTTTGCCATTCTTCTTCCTAATGATAAAACTGTGCAAGTTGCTCTTTCTGATGAGTGACATATGCGGGGTTTGTACTCAGAGTTTATGTAGCTCAGATGAAGGAAGAAACTGCTGTGCCTTTTGGTCTGTGTGCTATGAGTGGGGAATTCTAGGGCCATCCAAACCTGGATCAGAAGTTACACAGAGAAATTCCCAGTGGAGAAGTTGAAATGTTGCTGTATTTCCTCACACAAATACCAAGTTGCTAATACAAAGGGATGTTTCAGTCCACAGGCAGCTTTCTGAAATGAATGTCCTAAAGAAGACAGAAGTTCAGCTGTCCCAACCAGTCATACAAGTTTTCAGTGTTTTTGGTTTGGTGTTACTGGTGTTGTAAGAAGGGGGAAAAAAAAGCTCATAGACTTGCCCATTTCTTTTTTTAAAATCTGAGGTTTTTAATGATGTCATAGAATGGTTTTGAAATTCAGTTATATTTATGAAGCATATTTATTTAATTGGATAAGTGAGGTTGGAATGCAACAGGACAGTTTTATTTGGATCATGAAACCTTTTTGTATATGTTTTTTGTATTTTTAGGAGCATGAAAGTCTTCAGTGTTTGTCCTGCAATTTTGGTGGAACGTGTTGTAGTAAGCATTTTCTGCAGTGGTTTGCAGTCCTCACTGTCAGGTGTGCAAAGCTGCTTTTCCATTTCCCTAACTAATAAGTAAAATCCTCCCTTGGTAAAGCTGCAGTGGTTTGCAGTCCTCACTGTCAGGCGTGCGAAGCTGCTTTTCCAGCTCCCTAACTAATAAGTAAAATCCTCCCTGGTAAATGAGATGGACCAGAGCAAATATATTTATGCATTGTGAATTTCCATTTACTGGAAGATGGAGACCTGTCATATTAGTTTTGTAGTTATTATCCTCTTAACACATGAGCAAAACTGATCTTTATGCTGCTATCGTGGCTAAAAGCTGTGAGAACAAGTTGGAGAGAGAGGGCTATTCATGAAGAAGAAGACGCAAGAGTACAGGGGCAAAATCATCCTCTTCCCGTCATCCTGTTCTTGTTAGCAGTAGGAAGAGGATGGAAGAGAAACATTGCTGGTTCTAGCATTGAGAAGTGCTTCAAAATCACTTTCTTCTCACAGAAAATGAAGTTTCTGAATGGGGTCTGTGGTCTTATAGGAAACTGTAGGTTGTAAATGGAGTCATTAGACCTTTTCTCTGAGGCTTTCTCCCTAGCTGTAACGGTGGCTTCTTCTGCCTGATGACCTCATGCCTGAGGCTGAGTAGGAAAGCTGGCAACTTTTTCAAACTCTCCTTATTCAAACAAGCACAGAGAATACCTGTTCTCCTTGTCATTGGAAAAGCATGGGAGGTTTGCTTACACCTCTCAAGAGTGGTTTTTACTGTGTAGTCTCGCTGGGACTGTATCGGTCCTCTTGTGAAAGAAACTCAGAATTGACCTCACCTTTCTTTCCTGTAGTGATCTCTGCTTTCCTTGGATCAGTGGTATTGATGTTATTGCTGTTGTCCTGTGCAGCGTGGATCTCTTCCCTTGTAGCTCTCCTCTTGGCTCCTGCATTTTTCACTTTGTATTTCTTTGAGGGGACAGAAACCTTAGTAATAACATCAAAACTAATTAAAAGAGCTCATTCATATGTCTTGCTGTCACAGAAGTACTTTCATGCTCTTTCTTGTGATACATCTTTTAACTTACAAATTTTATTACATATATATATGAATACATATTGTATAATATGGAAGGAATTTATACAAGGGAAGCACCTGTCTAATTATAGCTCAAAACTAAGTGTTTGAGAGTTTTGGTTAATAAAAACTGTCACCCATTTTGGTCTTTATTACCTATTTGTTTTCTTAGAGCATGCTGTAGGTCTGCATCTGAGAACTTGGCTTTGGTTAGAGGCACTGGGAGGGCAGTGCGCTGGGTCCCTTCACTGAGACTTCCCAGCAGAAAGGATTACATGGTAAATCCTCTTCCTGTAGGTCCTGTCCGCAGAAAGAAATTGCTGAGGCGTGAATGCTGTGAGAATGGAAGTGGAAATAGAGATTGCAGATGAGTAAAAATGGTTAGCAGTTTTGTTTCATGATGAATTATCAAGGATTATGGGCAGCTGTTCTTTGAAGTATTTTAACGTTGTGCTGAATAGCTCAACAACAACATGTTCACTTGGTTATTTAAAAATATTGCAGAAACAAGAGAAAAGCTAACTTTTTAAGTGAGTGGTGACTCACCTTTGGCTTTACAGGGAGAGCAAAGAGCCACATCACATACTCTGTAGCTGAAGAAATTCTGAAGCTGGGCTTTTTCAGTCACCTTAATATTGCCTTCTTACAGTAGCGGTGCATGGGGTTTGAAACTGTAAGCTTTGGATGAGTTGAGCAAGTAGAGAGAATCAAATCTTAGCAGGGCGTATCGGCTGTGTATCTTTTGTGAAAAACCAGTTTCTGCGTATTGCATCAGTGAGGGGAGATGTAAGTCTTGAACTGTTATTATGAGTCCATGAGTTATTTTCATTCAGAGCCCTTGCTGGGTTTGGCAAGCCTTCTTTTCCAGCATTTCTAGTGGAGAGTCCAAAAATGGTTCTGCCTGAACACTGAGCCGTTCTTGTGCCTGCCATCTGGTGGCCAGATACCACAGCTAACTGGACGGGCTGCAGAGACCCAGCTGAGGCTCTGTCTTAAGGATACTGGAGAAAAAAGTAGATCCATGTCTCAGATGGAAATAGGTTTTTGCATGGTTTCCCTGGAGGACAAATAAATGTTGTAAGTCCCATTACCATCTTTCTTCTCTTTCTTAGGATATGATGGAGCTCCTAGAGGAAGATCTTACCTGTCCCATTTGCTGTAGCCTGTTTGATGATCCTCGTGTCCTGCCCTGTTCACACAATTTCTGCAGAAAGTGTCTGGAAGGAATTCTTGAGGGAAACATGCGGAATGTGCTTTGGAGGCCACCCCCTTTCAAGTGCCCCACGTGCAGGAAGGAAACTCCCGTTACTGGAGTCAACAACTTGCAAGTCAACTATTCCCTGAAAGGTATTGTGGAGAAGTATAACAAAATCAAAGTAACTCCGAAAATGCCTGTGTGCAAAGTGCACAGCGGGCAACCCCTTAACATTTTTTGCCGGACAGACATGCAGCTGATCTGTGGGGTTTGTGCCACCCGTGGTGACCATACAAAGCACGTTTTCTGTTCGATTGAAGAAGCTTATTCCCAGGAGAAGCGGGCTTTTGAAACCCTGTTTCAGGGCTTTGAAACTTGGCGTTGTGGAGATGCCCTCTCACGGCTGGATACCTTAGAAACCAGTAAGAGGAAAGCTCTGCAGATGCTGACCAAAGATTCTGACAAAGCGAAGGAGTTCTTTGAGAAGCTGCAGCACACGCTGGAGCAGAAACGAAATGAGATTCTCTCTGACTTTGAGACCATGAAGCTTGCAGTGATGCAGGCCTACGATCCGGAAATCAATAAACTGAACACAATTCTGCAAGAGCAACGGATGGCTTTTAACATCGCAGAGGCCTTCAAAGATGTGTCTGAGCCTATTATATTTCTGCAACAGATGCAGGAGTTCAGGGAAAAAATTAAGGTGCTCAAAGAAACCCCTTTACCTTGTTCCACTGTGGACATCAGCCCTACAATGAAGAGCTTTGATACCAGCCAGTGGAATGGAATAAAACTAGTTGATGTGGACAAACTTTCCTTGCCTCAGGAGAACAACACTTTTAAATTCAAGATTCCCTCAGTCTTTTCACGAAGATTTATAGTGAACTTACTTATTTGCTTGCTTATTCTTGCTGCCACCAGAATGTCCTTTGTGGAGTCAGTCGTTGACAATCTCCAGTGCTGGAAATCTCAATTCTTTACAATTAGCTTGTCCTATTTGGCAGATACAGTGGAGATAGCAGATCATGCAGTCTTTTACTGGGAACAGATGACAGATGGAGCTTCACTTCTAAGAGAAAAGTGTAAAAACTATACATTGGTTGTACTGGATAATGTTGCACAGTTTGTGTGCAAATATAAACTGTTGTGAAGTCCCTGCTGAAGTATAAGAACTGAGAGAGATGTGGTGAGGAAAACAGAGAACTTCTTAAGATTAATTGGTTTTTTAAGACTTCCAGTGAAAACATTCAGAGATGCAAAATGTTTCCAAAACGTTCATACTGTTCACGTACTTTGAGCACTGATAAACTAGAAGATTAAATGGAGCTTTGAAAAACACATTGTTTCTGGATTCTTCTTCCAGTGATGATTATGGGATTATTACTCACTGTAAATAATTTTTCTTACCAAAATATAGGGCCAAACTGTATACTTAGTTTAATGTTAATGTAATTGTAGAATAAGAGAAGAAGTGCCACTTCCTAAAAGGTCATAGTTAAAAATATTTTTTTTCTAACTGGGAGGTGGTTTGGAAAGAGGAAGAACAGTTGTGATTGAGAAGAGCGCTGCACTGAGAGGCTTGTTGAGGGCTGCCCTTCCACTGCAAAACACAGAGTGTGTCATTCACATTCTGGAACTGCTTTCTATCTGAGGATGTTACTTCTGACTGAAATAGATATATGTATTTTTTTGTATAATCAAAGTTTGTAATTATCCTGTGCATTCAGATTACTGTAGATATTGGTTATTGTTTACATGTTCTATATAAAAATGTATCTTCAGGGCAAGCGTAAATTCAAAGAGAAATCGGTTGAGGTTGATAAGAAGAACAAGCTGCGAGATAGTACGTACTTTGCAGATAGTACGTACCTCGCAGTTTACTTTTCCAGCATCAAATTCGTGGGGTAACTGAGCTGTCTTGTCAGATCCATGTTTCTCCGAAGCCACATTTTCTTAAAAAGGTGGCCTTAACGTGCGCAGTTTAGTGCAGTGAAAGGCACGCACGGGTCAGGCACGGGAAGGCAAAGGTGGCAGGTAGAGGAGTTTCTCTCCTGTCCCTCTCTACCTCTCCAGATCGTAATTCAAAAGCCAGGAAAAATGATGGGGTGATTCCTTGGAATAGAGTGTGCAACGTGACAGGAGTATGGATGTGTTTGGAAATGCTTTAGCATTGGAACATATATAGGCTCTTCTACTGTTACTGTATTTTTGTGTACCTTGTTTCAGGAATTAATTGAATTTTCTGAGTGTATTGACTTGGCTGTAGGATAACAGTGATTTAAAGTGAACTGTAGGCTTGAGGTCTCTGAAGTGCCCTTTAAGAACATACGATACTGAAATATGTTGTTTGAAGCACATCTAACCTCTTTTTGCAGTGGTCCTATGAACAGCAATAAAGAGAGTGAAAACATTTAGTTGACATTTCCAGGAAACAAATGTAACGCATGCCATACTTTGGGGGTATTTGTTGGCCTCTCTCAAGGTTTAATAAGTTGTGACGGTCAATTCACTGTCTTCCAGTAGTCCCTGCAAGCTGTTCATTTCAAAAATAAAACACTAAATTCCAAGAATCAAAGTTTCCAAGCAACCAAACCCTGCAAACAAAACTATTGTACATGATATTTACATCGTTGTTGCCTGGGAATCCTGTCGCCGCTCCACACCTCACTCCAAACACTTGAGAAAAGCACTGAATGGTTCTTGCAGCTGCAGATGCCTTGCAGTTTAGGAAAGATCAAGTCACAAACACGTAGATCAGAGAGTTACAATTCTTGAGTGGCTGCGATAGCGATGAGTAATCGAGAGGTGGTCGTTCTGAGCGTGGGAGGTGTGAGATTTGTAACCCGGGCTTCTACCTTGCAGCAGTTCCCTGAGTCCAGGCTAGCACGGATGTTGAACAATGCTGACCAGGAATTTAAAATGGTGAATGGAGAGTTTTTTGTGGACAGAGATGGAACTTTGTTTAGTTACATCATGGACTTCCTGAGGACTCTCCAGGTCTCCTTACCTACTGATTTCTCAGACTATCAGAGGCTGCAGCGAGAAGCAGAATTCTATGGGCTCTACCCTCTGGCCGACCTCCTGAGCCAGGAACACTTGCTGAAACCGAGGCTGGAGATCTTGGAAGTGCGTTTTTCTCTCCAGGAGATGCAGGGCTTTTTCCGGATCTTTGGTTCCTGCAGCACCACTGTTGAGACACTAGCTGAACAGATCACGGTGTTTGCAGGGCAGCAGTCAGGACAGAGCTGGAACAGCCCTTTTCCTTCTCAGAAACCACTCGTTCCACTTCCTTTGGAAAGGCCTTCTCATCACGACTTGGTTTTTCAGTGTGGTACTGACTACTCTGCTGGTGACCAGTTTGTGGCCAGGTACTCTCCCTGGTGTGACTTCTCATTATGGAAACGTCTTCGGGACTTCTAGTTCATGAACTACATGCTACATGGTAGCAAAGCTCTTTTTAAAGAAACTATCAGACAGCTGTCTGAAAGAAAAGAAATAAGTTTCCTTCTTTCTGCTAGTTTAATGTTACCTTTTTCTAGTTCTGAAATATCCAGTTTAATTTCTGTTACACTGATTTGCCTGTTCTTCAACTTTCTAAAATACTGTTCTTGATGTTTGGTTTTGAGTTCTGTTGGGTCTTTCTCTCTCTCTCCCCTTTCCTCCTCACTCGCTCTCCCAGGCTTTAGAATTTCATGGCATCAGTGACCTTCTAGAGAACTTGAAAAACACAGTAAAATGAAGCAAAGGAAACGAAATAAATAAGGACTGAAGTACTGGGGAGGTCTAAAGTCTCCACTAGCTCATGGTCCAAAAGACTTTTGTATGGAAAAGAGGAAAAAGAGAATGGCTAAACAGGGTTAAAAACACCAGTGGGACTGAGATAGCAATTCAGGGATTGGAAAGGTTTTGTAGAGCCTTTTGCAGGGGGGAGGGAGAAGGAAGAAGTTATTAACCATATGCTACACAGTGGGTTTTCTTTGAATCCAGAGCCAGGTTCTGTTTTTATTAAGATTACTGTATATCAGTGATTTTTGTGATAGCAGTATCGTATTCTAATGACAACTTATATTTTTTAAACCAGCTTTTGCTGGATGTCTCTATTATACGGAGACACATTCTTACTGTATAAGAAAATGTAACCTAATTTGTCCTCTGTGGCTGTTAGAACATCTGGAATTTTATGGAAATTTCATTGAAATATTTCCAAAAGGGTTTTTCTCTCTGAATATACAAATCAACACAGCAGACTTTTGATTATGTAAAAAAAAAAAAGAGTTTATCTTTCTTCTAGTTTTCTTTAGCTAAGCAAGTAGAAGAAAAACTACTTTGCATTTGCAAAGCAACATATATTCATGTGCCAGACCTTAACTTTATAGTGTACTACTGGTTTTAATGGACTAAGAGTTGGTTGAGTAGGTTATGGCAACTTAAATAGTGGGGAAAATACTCCTTATTCTTTCCTTTATTTCTTCAGACTTGGTAAAAATTTTCCTCTGCAGATGAATAGAAAAGCTTATCTTGAGTAATGAAACAAGTTGAGTTTGATTATGTTGCCTGCTGAATTTCTATCAACTTAGTCTTTGTGGTGACATGGACTCTTTCGCCTTTTTTGTGCTTTCCATGAATGTTTGGTGTACTTTCCTGTGAACTGTGGAACAGTTTCACCTCTGTCAGCTTATGTATTTTGTAATCGTATTTTTACCTGACTTCTGTTCCTTGAAACGTACTTTATATCAAGTAAAATCATTTGAGGCAATGTGAAAACGATTTTCGTACTTGTTACCAGAAGACCTGCTGTACAAGGTAACTTTGTAATAAATGTCACTGTTTGTAGAGAGAGATCCTGTGCAATGAAAAGTGATGCTCTTGACGTAAATGTGACCTCACTGTCCTTTCCATCATTTACTCTTACCTGAAAAACTGTTGCAGCATTATATAGAGCATGCCATTCACCTCTCCTCCATTAAATGACACGAGATGGAGGTTATCACAGCTATTTCTTAAGAAGGTAAGCTTTGGTGTGGGGGAGAAAAAGAAGGGCTTCTTCCCCAACATGTAATGGGATGAACTGAGAATTGCCGTTCTTATAATGAGGGAAAGATTTTTTTAGAGTTAAATTGTCCTCAAAGGAGGAAAAAATTATCCAGAACCTTGGTTGCTGTAAACCTCTGCAACTGTGCTGACCTGCACCATTTGAGGACCTGCTTTGTTTTAAAAAAAAAATGTTGATTCAATCCTTCAAGAAGTAATTAAAGTGTGTTGTAACTGCTTTTTTCTTATTTCAGGTATGTTTCCATAAAGCCTGATAACAGAAAGCTGATTAACGGTACTAATGTGCTAGGCCTGCTACTTGACACTTTACTCAAAGATGGATTTCACCTCATAAGCACCAGGACAGTCTCCAGCGAAGAAAAAATCGAATGCTACAGTTTTGAAAGGCTGCAGAGGCCAGGAGGCCTTGCCATCACGGTGAACCAAACCCCGGGGAGCTCTGGGGTAGCACAGGCAAAGAGAAGCCAAGTGCAGAAAGGGACATAAAGGCTTTTCCTTTCATCTTTTGAAGGTGGAAGAGGGGTGTGTCAGCACTAGTGGTCTTTTTTTGTTGGCTTGTTTGAAACTGCAACTATTGAGGGAAGTAACAAACAAACAATTTTTTTTTCAAGCATTCAGAAAAAAAAAATTGCTTTCCTGCCTTTTAGCACTCCACCCTCTTCAAGTCTAAATAAAAGAACAACAGATTCAATACTGGGTTTGTGGACCAGATTCTAGCATTTTCAAGGGTTGTTTTTGTTTGTGGCAAAAATTTATATTAGGACTCACCAAAAATGAGCCGTTTTTTCTAGAAAATTGTTTTTATGTTCTGTGCTAATCTGTAAGTAGATTTTAAAGTCATGATGATACATGAAGAAATAACAGCTTGACACAACTGTCATCCCAACAGTTTGGAGAAGTGGCTGGAGGAGGAATGCAAACCTCAACAACTGAATATTGCTTTTACTTTCAAAAGGTACACGTGCACTGATTTTCTTGCAGTTAGCTGAAAGCAACGTAACAGAAACATCCCCAGTTGTACTGCTGTGTGGCTCCAGACATGAGAAAGGGGCTTTGTGAAGCCACAAGTAGTGTCCATGAAATAGCGTGCTACTGTCT